GTTTATTTATCCACGAGATATTGATATATTTACGATTTTGCCATTAATGAATTGACCATTGTTATTTAAGTTTGACTTCATCATGTCCATTAATCGTACCGATCCAATGATACATGATCATTCTTATTTCTTTCATTATCTACCATTCTCGTGTGATCCTAACTCTATATATATATTCAGCCACTCTAAATTAATAATTCCCAACTTATTTGAATAAACTTTCAATTTCCCCACAGCTATAGGAAATCTGTCATCACTACGTAATAATGACTTAATTAATAACTCTAATTGCATTAAAGCATAAACTTATTTGATCGAAAATATAAGACCGAGTCTCTTTACTAAGATGGAGTGGAGTGACTTATGTTGGTGGAAAACCACTATATATGGGAGTCCAAAAAAGAGATCGTATCATTACATTTCACTTTGACTCAGTCGTATTTAGCCACTTACGTATACCAACATACCAATAGATTTTGGAACCCAAAATTCTTGTATTATGAAAATTTAAGTCTTCTTTCTCATAATGGGATTTAAGTGCATAATTGATTTGTGCGCTTGAATTAGGGACATTGCGTTCAGCGACGGATCTAGGATTTTTACTCAGGGGGTCCAATTTTAAATACAAAATAACAAGCTTGTAATTTAAGTCAAAACGTTCATTTCATATAAAAATGTGTTTACTTATAAACATAAATATCGATATATGTAACATCAAGTTTTAAAAAATTTAGAATCTATATCACCATCAAAATTTTACAAAAATAAACAAAAAATAAGAGATTTCATCTATTTATAACTAGTACGTATCCCGTGCGATGCACGGAACATAAATATTAAATAAATTATTTTCACAGGCTTTGTCCGTTAATTATATAAAGCAATAGGGTTATCATCTATTTTTCACCTCTTTTAATCAGCGTTAAGTATAATAAACAATAAGGTTACAATCTATTTTTCACCTCTTTTAATCAGGGTTGTTTTTTTAGTCAAAACAATAAATATGAGCATGCTAGGGTTAACTTGTAAAATAATTAATATATTATCTCACTAACACATTTATACTAATATAAATTTGATTTTAGTATATATATTTATTCCTCGATATAAGAGAGAATAACAATTTTACTTATTCTTGTTCACCATATAATACTTAATTATTATTTCATTATAAACTTTGTTGTCATATGATATTATTATTTATAAAGTTATAGAAATTGTACGTCTTCTTTTTCTTTTTATTTTATGTAATGAAAAATACTTAATGCAAGTTAGGATTATTTATTTATGTAATCAATTTAAAATATGTAAATAAATTTAAAATTAAATAGTGTATAAATATTTTACAAAATATACACATGTTTTTTTAGAATTTCATAAATATTTTTGGATAAAAAGTAAATATTTGTGAAAAAAATTAATATTATGGTTAGAACTTAAAATATGGTGTAATATTTATCTTGACCNTTGCCAAAACGATAGAGGTAATATATATAACGCACAACTGTGCAGAAAGCAGCCACCAGCTGATTACAAACAGTCAACAACTGAATACGAGCAGCCAATAGCTAAAAACTGAGAGGACAGGTCAAAAGACCGCCTAGAACCGACCCCAAAAGGGTAAAACTCTGGAAACTAAAAAACACCCAAAACAACTAAACACAACAACACAAGACCCCCACAGGGTAATTCCCGAGTGTCGGACCCCCACAGGGTAATGAAAATGACACTCGGGTGCACAGAGGCCAAACGGCCCAGACCTAAAACACAGCGACAAACACATCGACAAGAACGAACACTCTAAACAAGAACAACAAATCAAACTACTACATAACAAAACACAGCTAGATAAAAAAGCCCTTCCACAGCAAGTCAGTCAGCTTGAACCAGCGGAGAACGGTCGATATCAGAGGATAATCCAAGTCCAGGAGACGGCTTCCGAAACTGCCACAAGGCCTATACAAAAAGTCGAGTCCGAACCCAAACCAATCTCCGAAATGACCCGCCTCGACCGGAAGGACAACCGAACACGCACCCACTCTAGCACCTCCGAGCACGCCTAACACCACTAGCCGAGCTTAGGAGCACCTGAACCCCGCCGTCTAACACCACTAGCCGAAACAGGGGGGGCGGCTCGGGCCCTCAACTCCGACAAACCATCAAAGCCCCATCCCTCTTCACGACCCACACACAAGCAGCCAACATCGCCGTCGACCACCGGCTCCAGGACCAAAATCCCCGGACAAATTTCGCCGGAAAAAAAGCGGAACCAACCGAGGCATTCCGTTCGCACACATAATCGGGAATATAGAACCTGAGCAGAAAAAGGAGAAGAGTTCACCTCCAATCGGGACCGGCGAGCAACTACTCCATCGATTGCTAACCTGTTGACGACTAAAGCGCTCGTCTCTTCCTATCTCCACTTCGCCGGCGAACAGAGCCATGGTAATAACGACAATCACAGCAACATCGACGGCCTGGGACAGAAGAGGAGGGACGGCGGTCGAGCACGACCACCGGCCGGCGCCGCACCGCCGCCTAGGAAGGCTGCACGAATCTGACGGGAGGAAAGCGGAGAAGAATTTGGGGCCGAGGGTTTACTGTAGAGACTAGAGAGAGGGGAGGAAAAATCCAATTAGATCATAGAGATCAATCTTGTAATTTATTATAATGAATATCAATGAAAGTATTACAAATATTAATAAAAATAATATTTATCTTGACCAAATTATTATCAACATGAATTACAGAAAACCAATCTTGTAATTTATTATAATGAATATCAGTGATTATTTAAGTAATTTTTTTTTAACATATCTTATTTGATCTTATTTGAAACGTGTATATAGAAACAATTAATGCATATATTTAAAATGTTTCCAAAAATGGTATGCATTAAATGTTTCCTAAATTTTTGGCTACTATTTTTAGTAAATGGTAATTCTTATTATATATACTAGTACAGAGCCCGTGCAATGCACGTGATGCATGTTTTTAAGGCTATTTATCCAAGCTTATAATTATATACATGAATAAAGAAAAATGTACGGAATATATATAGTACGTGACCCGTGCGAAGAACGAGATATATTTATTTGGAGAATATTATATTATAAGATGCAATATTCAATAAAAGTTTATAATATGCAAGAAATTGTACAATGTTCAATAAAAGTTTTATAATATTCAAGTGGAGTCTTAAAGTCTCTTGTACATAAGACTACTGACAAAATAATATTTTAATCAATGAGTTTCCTTTCCTTGTAGCCAAATTGTGAATGTGATTTGAGGAGTACAACAAATCGATATATAGTTGACTTGTTTTTTTCATTGTCGTTTTTTTTTTCTTTTTATTATAATGGATTTAAAGATATTCTAAAATATAGCAAAAATTAATTTTTTTTATTACAATTAAGAATTTTACTAAATATAAACTCTCAATCTATGGTGATAATCGACGTTTAAGTATAAAAATTAGTAATTTTTACCTCTTTTAATCAACGTTTAAGTCTAAAAAACAATAGAGTTATTATAAGTTTTTTTTCTACATCTTTTAAAACATTAAATATGAGCATGTTAGGGCTAGCTTGTAAAATAATTAATATATTATCTCACTAAAACATTTATACTAATAACAATTTAATTTTAGCATATAAATTTATCCCTTGATATAAGAGAAAGTAATTTACTTATTGTTGTTCAGCATATAATATTTAATTATTATTTTATTATATAATAAAAAAGAAATATTGTTAAATAGTGTAGTGATTTTTTTTTACAATATGGATTTAATATTTTTTTATGATTTGATAATATAAACAAATCTATACTTAACTTTGACAAATAAAACAAATAAATACTTTAGTAAGTATTTAATGTATATACTAAATAGGAATATATTTGGTATAATCAAATACCAAATATAATCAAATAATTCAAATGTACATTTTTATTTGGTATTTGATTTTTTTATTATTAAAATCTTTTTATTATACTTATCTTTTTAAAATAAAATAAATAAATAAATCAATTAAATAAATAAAATATTATTATACCAAAATAGTAATGACATTTAATGCAGTTGACTTTTCTGGATAGTAAATGTAGTAAATAGAATCTCCTTTTATATAAATATAGATTGTATAATACGGAAATAGTAATGCAATAAATGTTGGTGACTTTTCTTTATACTAAATCTGATAAATGGTATACCTTTTAATATAAGTATAGATATAGATTTAGTTTCAACATCTATAATTTATAAAAAGAAAATAAATTTTTTGATTTAAAATTTGATTTAAATTTAACATTTACAGTACGTTGGATTACAATTTTGTTGATTAGAGCTTATCAAACGACCACTTTTTTTAAGAAAAAATAAATAAAATTAAAAATATGTGATTACACAAAAAAATAAAGTAAACAATAAACATTCAAAAATTTAACAATCCAACTAAATACTCGGTTTTATAAATCACTAAATCGATTTACAATTAAGAGGCTGAAAGAGTAAATCATTATAAATATGTTTAAAAATTTATCTAATAATGTATATTATAAGGATCATTAGTATATTTTTCAATAAATAGCATAAAAACTAAGTTTTAATTATTTATATTAATTTAAATTAAAATATCATAGAAACTAAATTTTAATTATTTATATATTATAAATATTTTTTTGCATTTTTGTCCATATTTTATAGTGTTTTCTTTATATATATATATATATATATATATATATATATATATATATATAGGGATGCGCTCCGGTGAGAAAGGTTCTCAGTGAAAGAAATAATAATAAATCATAGCCACCTGATCGGATGATCAAATGACTAAAAAAACCCAAAATTATACTCTCATTAAGGATAATGTAGTAGTTTACCACACCCAAACATCAAAGGGCCCACCACACTTCACAACTGTCGTCTCTCACAAACCAACCCCCTTTCTCTCTCTCCCTCTCTATCTCTCACGCAGAGAACATCACCATCCTTGTCACTGCCATTCCCATGCCGGAAACTCCTCAATACTCCGTCCACCACCGTCCATCGTCGCGAGTCCTGCCGGCGCCGGCGCCTGCAAGTTGTCGTGCACTTTGAGGCGTCGTCGACGTCCGGCGAGTATTCGACGAGATCCAGGAATGTCGTGCGTGGAGGACAGTCTCCCCCGCCGCGAAGATGCGCCAATCACCGTCCACGGGAGGCCAGCGGCGTCACTCACCTGGTTCGCCGTCCTCTCGGCGGCCTCAAAATCGTCAAATATAAATGATTGAGGCCCTAATTGAGATCGACATGGTGAGAATACGTTTTCTTTCCCGACGGCATCTTCATCGGCACGACGGAACTCCAATTTGGGGATTGGGTTTTCTTGTGAAAATTAGATAATCAAGAGGGACTCATTTGCAATTTTGGTTATACTTAATTTAACACAAAGGTCAAATATGTAATTAAAAAAAATATATAAAGAATTTTTATACATATATGTATTATATATTTTGGCTTACTTGTGTATTTTAATCACTTGAATATTGTGAGACTGCACAATAATGTTAGTCCAATTGCACGTTAATGCGTTTGGGAATGCACAATAGCACAACGATGGAGAACGTTGAGAAATACTAAATATATTTTTATGATATAAATAATAAATTATTTCAATTATTTAGGATAGTTCGATTAACCAACCTAATAAACCAATTATCTCAGTTCAGTCTTAGTATGAATTTGCACATCAAAATACTCACCGTAAAATGCACATTAGTTTTAACATGATGCACAATAGTGACTGTCAGACTGCACAATAACGATTTGCTAAATGCACATCAATGTGTTCGGTAAATATGACTTTATTATTTAAATAATTGGATAAATATAAAATATTGTTAATTAAACAGACATTATGACAATTGCAATCTCATATTATGCATTTTTACAAAAAAATATAAAAATATTATAAAAAATTATAAAAATACTACATATTTTTTTATGAAGTTAAAAATAAATTAATTTGTATATTTAGAGTAATTTGGTTAACCAACTTGATAACCCCGTTAAGTTTCAATCTGGTTTGAGACAAATGTCCGATCTCTTCAGACTGCACAATAGCGTTATAATTGAGTACATGGCCTTATATGTAATTTATATAAAATTTATAAAATAAATTATTATTTACATACATAGAGTAAAATAATAAATAAAATATTAAATAACAATATTATAACACATAAAAATAATGTAAAAAACAATAAATAAAAATATTTAGGTAAAATATTAAAATAATAATAAAACAGTAGATAAAATTTTATAATATAAGTAATAAAATATTTTGAATATTTAGGTAAATCCGGTTAAATTAGTTTGAACGTGAAAAAATAAAATCCAAACACATACTGCGGGATGCACGATAATGTTATACGAGATACACATTAGTGATTATTGAAATGCACACAACATCGTATATAAAAAATAAAATTTTGGAGTAATATAACAATAATAATAAAATATTGAAATAATAAATAAATTTTATAATATATATATATATATATATAATAAATAATTATTTTGGTTAATTTGATAACCAATTGAATTAATTGATTATTTCGGTTTAGTTTTAGATTGCATTTATATGTAAAAAAGTCCACACTACATAATGCACGTTATTGTTAGCCGAAGTGCATATTAATTTCCGTAAGAATGCCCATCAGCGTATATTTCGTGCACGACCACACGTGAACAATAAAATAAAATAAAAATAATGTTACGCTATTATGCATTTTTCACCGATGCTAATATGCATTTAGTTTGTCACCAATATGCGTTGTGTGGAACTAATAGAGGTGTCAAAATATTGACCGAAACCAAAGAAATCGGCCAAAACCAATAGCAACACAAAAAAAATATATATATAATATATATATTATTTATTTTCAACAAACAATAATATAAAACATCAAATACTAATTATAAAACTAAGATTCTCTCTGGGAGAGCGAAACCTATTCTCTCTGGGAGAGCGAAATCCTTGAATTCTTGAATACTTGTAAGGATTTAGCGTTGAACTCTCTATCAATTTCAATCGCATTCCTTATCTTTTTGTCATAACATCCGAATATTGTCCTTCTGTTCAAGCTGTTCGTTACAATTGGGGACCCGTAAATCCCAATGGATTCTCATACAGACATTGGTAAAGACGACGAAATATGGCAGAAGCTAGAAAATTTTTCACTATCCTCCAAGGAAGATTCTGTAGTTGATATAGCAAAAGAGGATATAAAGCTCAGTGATGAAGAATGCCAGCGAAGCTTGTTCGGCAAGGTCATTGGAGACAGAAAAGCTAGCTGGATTGGGGGTAAAGCGTACAATGAGCCTCATTTGGAGGATTAGACAATCAATGGAAGTAAAAGAACTTGGGCATAATTACTTCCAATTTATTTTCCAAAGCAAAGATGATTTGGCAAGAGTAGCAAAAGGCATAAATTGGAGTATTGATAACCAGTTCCTTATATTATCAGAATGGCAACCAGGCCTTTCGAGCAATCACCCGAATTTCCAAGAACTCAAATTATGGGTTCAAGTATTCAATGTTCCTCTTAATTGGCTCAGCACGGAGGTAGGATTGAAGCTTGGCCATGTCTTTAAGGAGGTTATCAATGTAGTAGTGGTGGGAGCTGGAAGCCATGGAGGTAAGGTCCTTCGACTTTTGATTTCTGTAGATATCAATGAACCCCTCCCTCGTTGCTCTAAAATTAGACTGGGAGAACAGATCGTTTGTGTTAGCTTTAAGTACGAGAAGTTGGTTAATTTCTGCCATTATTGTGGATTGGTTGGGCACCTAGAGAGAGGATGCTCTTCTCGTATGAGTGACATCAAATCAAAAACATTGAAAGAAGGTCAATATGGCGATTGGCTAAAGGCTACTGATGGGCGACACTGGGCTACTCAGAATGCTTCAGATACCAGAGAACCTCCTTCAGACAATACTTCCCATCCAGATAAGCAATCTCCATTAAAAGCAACCACCAGTCAAGTGGAGGATAATAACCAGATTGTGATGGTTAACAGTGACTCAGCCACTCAGCAGCATCACCGAGCAAATTTAACTAAATCTTCTGATGAGGAAAACTTCAAACAACCTGATTCTAATGAGAGGATGCATTTTGAGAAAGATGGTAATACACAGGAGAAAGATAAGACCATGGACTTAGATGTAATTCTTCCCATTCAACTGCAATCCAGTACTGGACATGAAGATTCCATGATGATACAAATTCCACCAACAAGGACATGGAAAAGATCAGGTGACAAAGATGGAAGGCTCCAAAGGCAAAACAACAGCATTGTAATAAGGGACACTCCTGTTTCAAGTAAAAGACCTTGGGTAGAAACTGAAAACCAACCATCCCTTAATAAAGGAAAATCAATTGTTGTTGCTGAGAACAAGAAACTGAAAACTGATTCAAAGGTGGGGGAGGCCAGCCTGGATTGGCTCCCAAGTGCTCAATGTTAGCTGCGGTGTGGAACTGTAGAGGGCTGGGTGGGCCCTCTACAGTTTCCCAAATCAAAGAGACCTTTAAGGCTCACCACCCAAAGTTACTGTTCTTGTCAGAAACTAAAAAACAAAAAGCTTTTGTGCAATCAGTGAGTAAGAAACTGGGTTTTGATGAAAGATGTGCCATAGTTGATCCAGTGGGTATTAGTGGAGGGCTAGCTTTATTCTGGTCTTTAGACGTGGAAGTGTTTCAGGTGATCTGTAGAGACTTTTTCATTGCCATAGAATTCAAACTTCAAAATGATAGGAAAACCTGGGGAATTTTTGTTTATATGAACTCAGACAGAAATCTAAGGGAAGCTCAGAGGCAAATCTTAATTTATGAGAGGAGATTCTGGGGTGAGGAGTGGTTTGCATTGGGTGACTGGAATGATATATGCTCTTCAGAAGAAAAGAAAGGTGGGAGAAAAAGGCCTTCTAGCAGCTTTCTGGAATTCAATAGCTTTATATCCAGAATGGAGATGGATGAAGTACACATGGCTGGATATCAATTCACTTGGGTAAATAATAGGGATGGAGAAGGCCTAGTGGAAGAAAAACTTGACAAAGGATTTGCTTCTCCTTCATGGTTGGCTCTTAATCAAAATGCCTCGATTCTAAACATTCTGAGAAGTGCATCGGACCACTCAATGATATTGCTTGACAATGGTAAGGAGAAGTCCAGAAACAACAGAAGTTCAAATTTGATGGCAGATGGCTGAAAAAAGAGGGGTTTTCTGAAGTTATAAGCACTGCATGGACCAAACCATAGACAGGCACTCAAATTTTCATTCTGAAGGAAAAAGTTAAAGAAACAAGACTTGCCCTACTCTAATGGAGCTCCAACTTCAACTCTCAAACAAAGAACAAAATTGATGAACTCTCTGACAGAATGGAGCACATTAGAAATAAAGGAAGAGCTGAAAACTGGGAAGAATGGGAGGATGTCAGACATGAATTGGAAGAAGCTCACAAATTGGAGGAACAATTTTGGAAACAAAGAGCCAAAATACAATGGTGGAAAGAGGGCAATGCTAATACCAAATTTTTCCATGCATATGCCAGACTCAGAAGAAAGCAAAAGTCAATTTCCAGATTGCTCACAGAGACAAACCAAATCCTTACTGAACAGACAGATATTGACTCTCACATTTCAAGCTACTTTGCAAACTTATTCCATTCAGAAGGGTCATGGGGAGGTGACTCAATTATTCATTTGATCCCTACAACCATCATTGAGGAAATGAACCAGCAACTTTTAAGGCCAGTTGGAGAAGAGGAGATACATGATGCTTTATTCAGCTTACCTGCAGAGAAGTCTCCTGGAGAAGAAGGTATGAATGCACTGTTCTACCAGCACTGTTGGAGTACCATAAAATCCGATTTAATCAAAGCTATTCAAAGCTTCTTTGAGTCTGGCACCTTGATGAAATACTGGAACCATACACTTGTTACTTTGATTCCAAAATGCAAACACCCTGAATTCCTTAGCCAATATAGACCCATAAGCCTTTGCACTGTAGTATACAAAATCCTTTCTAAAATTTTGGCTCAAAGACTGAAATCTTGCTTAGATTGTTGCATCAGTGCTAGTCAATCTGCTTTTTTGCAAGGTAGGCAACTTATGGACAATGTGATCATTGCCCATGAGACCTATCATTTTTTGAGCAGACATAGATCTGGGAAAAACTTCTTTATGGCCTTAAAGCTTGATTTAATGAAGGCTTTTGACCGGGTTGAGTGGGGCTGCTTACACAGAATTATGGTAAAGATGGGATTTCAACTGCAGTTCATTAAGCTTATCATGTCTTGCCTATCATCTGCTACCTTTTTCTTTCAATGTCAATGGTTCAACAAGGGGTTTTGTTAGTCCTACAAGAGGAATCCGTCAGGGAGATCCACTGTCACCCTATCTATTCATAATCACTGCTGAAATGCTATCTGCTATGATCAAGGAAGCTGTGGATAATGGTACTCTTACAGGGCTCAGGATTTCAAGGGAAGGTCCCACTGTCTCACACTTAATGTTTGCAGATGATGTCCTATTTTTCAGCAAAGCAGGGGTGGATCAGACTCAAGCCCTTACCACTATTTTAGAGAAGTATAGACTATTCACAGGACAGAAAGTCAATCTTGGAAAATCATCTATCATATTCAGCAAGAATACTCCTCAGTTACTGAAGCAAAGCATCTGCTAAAACTTGCAAGGAATAAAGCTCCACCAATCTTGCAGATACCTTGGACTCCCACTGGGAATAGAAAAGTCCAAAAGAGAGGCCTTTGAATATGTTTTGGAGGCAGTGAGAGCCAAACTAACTAGCTGGAGAAACAAACTCTTAGCAGCTGCAGGCAAAGAAGTGCTCATAAAAGCAGTCTTGAGTGCACTACCAATATTCACAATGGCTTGCTTCAAGCTTCCTGTATCAATAGCCAAAGAGATTTCAAGACTTTGTGCTCAATTCTGGTGGAGTAGGGGTGATCAGCATGATAGAGGATTGCATTGGAAATCCTGGAGGGTGCCGTCAGGTAGCTCGACTTCTATGACTTCACTTCGCTTCGTTCGTTCCCTCGTACTCTAATGCCATGACTCGGGGTGCGGTACAAGGGATTCCCCGAGCTCGTAGAAAAAAGCAAGTAAATAAAAGGTTTTTCAGAATGGATTTTGATACATATCATATCGAATATATAGAATTCTAGAATATATATCGTTCGCCTTCAGCTCCATCCCGTAGCAAGATCTCAGAAGCTGAGAAAAGCCAAGTCCGTTGATGGACTGGTGAAAAATCCAAGGTAAAGAAGGTCTTCGATTACTTAAATTACTTATTCATTGAATCCTGCCCGATCCTAATTCCGGTATATCCAGGATGAAAGAAGAGAAAAGGCGGCTGGTAATGCTGATCCTCCAACTGCAGATAGAATGAAGAGAGTGCTGGACTTACATACGCTATTTCCTACAAGACGGTCTAGGCTAGTAGATCCAGCATATACTTCCACTGCGAAATCTTTATGCTGAACATCTTACAATACCAAAAAGTGAGGGTGGCTTGGGTTTCATGGATGTACAGCTCTTCAACAAAGCTTTAATTTGCAAACAATTGTGGAGAATCACCTCACAGCCTGATTTGCTGGTTAGTCAGATCTTAAAGAATAGGTACTTTCCTCAATCCTCCATTTCTGAGTCCACTAAAACCCAGCACAGTTCCTGGCTATGGAACACTTGGCTGTCAATTCTTCCAGAATTTGCTAGAGGATACAGAATAGAGATCAGAAATGGGGCCAGTCTAAAAATTGCAGATGCTAACTGGGTGCCTAACCTGGGAAAGCTGAGGCCAGATATGCTTCCAATTGCTAGAGGACATATGGTTTGGGTCAAAGAACTTCTCAATAACAATGGCATAGGATGGAATGATTGGTTAGTTCAGCAACTATTTGGACCAGAAGATAGCTCAGCCATCCTGAAGATTACCACTGTGAAGTCTGATAGACCAGATAGACAGCTTTGGAGCCTGCATAACAAAGGTAAAAATTTACTGTCTCCTTTCTTTACACTGATCTGATAACAAGGAAAGTGCAAAGGCTTGATATCCCTGAGGGCAGCTCCAATTCTGATTCCATCAAAGCAGTGAGAATTAAAACATGGAAGCTGAACATCCATTCTAAAATCAAACAACTGCTTTGGAAAAGCTGTTCAAAAGCTCTGCCAGTCAAAACAGCACTTAAGGCCAGAGGAATTGACATTGATGTTATATGCAAGAGCTGTGGGGAAGGTCCAGAGACAATAGAACATGTTTTCTTCCAATGTGCCAAAGCAAGGAAGCTGTGGGAACAAGGTCCTATCCAATGGAATGATCTGCAGGACCCTGGAATTTCTTTCTGCTCTTGGTGGAGACACATCAACTCTCGCAAGAAGGAAGAAGTTGCAGAAGAGCGCATCCAACTCACGACCTACCTTCTTTGGTGGCTTTGGCGAGCGAGGAACCTTTGGCTTTTTGAAGAAACTAACCTGCCAACTCACTTTGTACTCAAAAGTGCAATTCGAGAATGGCAGGAATTTAGCTCTTTGTAATGTGGTGTTTATATTTGCTTTGTTTTGCTTTCTTTCTTTTTTAGCTTATCTCAGGGGGATTGAGCTAGGCTTATGCAGTGGTTTCATATCTCCCTGAGTTGGTCAGTTTTTTTAGTTGTTCTTTGTTGTTATTTCATAGTCCTTCGATGGGCGTCTAGGCCGCTTGCATGCGTGTCCTCCCAGTTTGATTTTCGGTTGTTTAGATTGTATTTGAACTTGGTTCCCTTGGAGTTATATATCAAATCTGTCGTTTCGACCAAAAAAAAATACTAATTATAAATACTAAATATAATTTTATTAATATAAATAATTTATTAAATACGCAATATTGTTAGTTCAAATACACATTATTAAAGTTTTCTATAAAAAAAATATTCGCTCAATAGACTGCAAAATAATGTTAGACAAAATGCACGTTAGTGCCTATCGAAATGCACATTATCGATTTCTGACTCTTATAATTATACTTTTTCAACGAAACCTAATATAAAATATTAAATAAAATATCAAAATACTAAATTTATTTTTATAATATGAATTATAAATTATTTCAGTCATTTGGGTTAATTCAATTGTACGATCAAATAAATCGATTATTTCGGTTCATTTTTAATATGACTTTGGGTATGTCATTAAAAAATGATGCGCTACAATTGCACGATAGTATTAGACGAATTACACGTTAATAACTATCAAATTGTACAATAACCAAAACCGATCGAACTGCTTTCCTTAATGATCATGATTTCCAGCCATATTGTGCATTTTAATTAGTATTGTTGTGCCTAAGTTGAAATTTTATAAATTACAATTTTACCAAAGACCTAATATGAAACACATTAAAACCTTCAAAAATTACAAATCAGTCCCCCCTTTTCATCTAATTTTCAAAGGGAAAACCCCACAAATCTCATTCAGAGGGTCCCAAACATGAACTCGAAAAAGAAAAACAGTCCCAACATAAACAGGCGCCTCTTCCCCCCTCATACATCATGGTCGCCGTCGCAATTGGAGCTGATGGAGGTGGTTTCACTGGACTTGGAGGAAGGCCTACTCAAGAACAATTTTGCCGCCGCCAATTGAGGATAATTTTTTGTCAGTCCCACCGCTCACCATCCTCGCCGGAGTCGGATCTGTTAGCCGTGAAGGTCATTGGACGTCGCACGGCGGAGTGGAGGCCGATTTCACATCCTCGACGCGGCAGTGCTGGTGAGTTTTCCATCGAAAACACTGTTGTCGCAGCCGTATCTGGTGCGCGGACGGCAGAGGCGCGGAGATGGGATCTGCTCTTGTCCGCGACGGTCGGCGTGAACGGTGGGGATACGGCGGGGATGGCGTCGGTGTCATCTGGATCGGCCAGGCTCGTGTCGCCGGAGGAGACGGTGGTTGGCTGGCGGCCATGGCGGAGCTTGTGCCGGCTGCTGCGGTGTGTGTGTATGTGTGTGTGTGTGTATGTGTGTAATTGACCAATTTATGAGTTCGTGAATTCTGTGTGTGGGTGGAGATGATGAATTTATAGTATTGTGGTGGGCCCCACATATTTGGTGGGTGTACAAAATTACAAAACTGCCCTCATATGTTTAAATTTGATCAAGAAATATCAAGTTATTTACCATACTGTCATTGATGATTGACCATAATTGACTAAAGTTTGACTTGATCATGGTTATTGATGTAATAGATCGAATGATTTAGTTTTATTCTTATTTCTTTCATTATGATTCATTCTCTTTTGAGCGCATTTCTCTCTCTCTCTCTCTCTATATATATATATATAAATATAATGATATTTAAAAAAAATTGAAGGAATCCATGGCCCCCCTGGACCCCATGTGATCCGTCATTGATTGCGTTTCCTTATATTCTTATGATGGAATTTTGGAAGCATTAATTTAGGCTAGCGTTGGCATGGTCCTATAGTAATTTTTATTCAATATAATCATCAGGTAATTTTCCCATTCAGATCATGACATAATGTGAAGGCTAGTTTCTAAAGGTGCAATAGTAAATTTTTCATTGACATGTGACCCCATATATAATCTTACAAGTAGCTTTTTTCTTTATATAATGAAATGTCGTTACATCTATTTAAGTTGTTTTTTAAGCTATAACATTTGGATATAAAATTACATAAATTTGTTGAAAAATTATGGTCGTCTATGTTGTGAAAAGAGAAACTGTATGTGTGAGAATCCTTATATGATGTGTTTAATGTTGTAAGTAAAGAGTAAAATTAATTTTACAACTCTTTACGATGTTCTAACCAAACTTTCAATGATGGATGGCTTCAAAGATTTTATTTATTTTTTTTTTTTTACGAAACGGTAGAGATATTATAAACTCAAAGCGAACAAAGTTCGAATAGTACAAACCAAGATCGAAAAGAAAAGCTGAGAGGACACGCATAAAGCGGCCTAGAACCTTAACTCCAACAGAAAAGAAACTAAATACCATCCACTGTCCAAGGGCCTAGAGGTAAAAAGGAAAAAGAAAATAAACACCACCTATCCCAAACAACTGCTAATAGAACAAAAAGAGAAGCAACCAAGACAACACAAAACAAAGGAAAATAACAGTCCAACACCAACTTAAGCTTTCAAGTAAACAAAGTCTAGCCAATCCTGTTGAGCAGCCTGCAAGGTGACTTGGATTGGCATGAGGATGTTTTGAAAGATACTCAGGTTGCGAGTCTTCCAGAGCCACCATAAGATGTAAGTGGTGAGTTGTATTTGGGCCTCTGATGCCTCTGAAGTACTCAAAGAACAAATATCCATCCACCAGCTGCTAAAAGTTGGTTAATAATTCTTATGTTTGAGTTATTTATTTGGTCATTGATGAAGAAGAACATTAATGCATTTCTCCTCTTTATTGAATAAAAGCTAGCTTCATGAGCACTATAAATAAAGTGCATGCACGCTTACGAGAAGACACACTAAGTGAAGGAATATAAAAGGAAATATGTACATATATTCTCTTTCATCCTCCAAAGACTTAGAAAAATTAAGTGTTCTTGGCAATTGAGATTTTGATCGAGGTGCAATAGAATGCATGCAAGATGAGCCAAGAGTTTCGCTATAGTTCCAGTGTGTTAGATAGTGCAGTCTTCACACTTTGAGCGTCTTATTCTAGGAGAAAAGGCGTAGTACTCGTTGCCCAGTATCGGGGTGTCTGTTTCTTCAAAGCAAACAAATTTTCTGTGATTCGGCTATACGTGTTCTATAGCAATATCAGTGCCAGCTCCAGGGGGAGGCAGAGTAGGCTCTTGCCTAGGGCCTCAATTTATTTGGGGCCACATTTTTTTTTTTTTTTTGGTTAATACTATGGATTTGTGTTGGGTTTGATCCATTTAAATAAATGAAGTGGCCTAATTAATGAATGAGTAATGACTAAATATTTACTTAGCCCATTACACAAATATAAATGCTAATGAATAAAGGGCTAAGGGCTAATAACTAAATATGGACTTGGTTCACTACACAAATGAAGAAGCTAATTACTAAAAAGGCTATGGTTAAATATGTAATTCGTTTGTGAACTTGAAAACCTAAATATTTCATTTGTTTTCTTATGATGTTTGATATGAACAATTTGTATTAGAATAATTATTTTTAGTGATATTATTTTTTATTTTTTATCCTTAATGTCCTCGTGACTGCTTCAATGTAATTTATTAAATATCTCTGTAAACTCCAGAGATAATTTATCATTTCCAAGATCTATTTCAGGATTGATGAAAGCAAGAAAAATCATTTCTTTTTTAATTATTTATTTATTTAGCTTGTCTTGTTGAATTAGCTGTTTTTTTCTTCCATGCTTAGCACACAAATTCAAATTGGGAACTTCGAAAAAAAAAATAAAAAATTGTCCGGGGCCTCCAAATTTCTGGAGACGGCCCTGAACAATATAGAACTGTCAGTTAAGTTATTAGTTTTATAATAAATTTATTTATTTACTAATAGAAATTTGGTTTCATCTCCTGTTCTGTGGTTGATGTTTGTGGTTTCTATTTACAAATTTTTAATATGTATATGTGTTGAAACTCGTCTTTAATTCGCCATTTTATAATTAATTTCTATAACAGTCCTGAAGAAACAGTTTTTGTGATCAAAACGAGATTTTTCAAAAGTGTTATACGTATTTGTTTTACTATTTTTTTCTTCTCAATTTATCATTATGCATGGCAAGTGGTTCTGGCACCATACCAATTAATGCTACGTTGAATTAAAAAGTAGATTTGTCCGGTAAAATTTTCAAACGTTGGCAACAACGAATGAAAATGTGGCTTACGATGAAAGGACTTTTGACGGCAATTCAGGAGTAGACCTGAACTAACTGATAATGATCCCAAAACAGCTGAAATTTTATAGTGGAACGAAAGATATCAAATAGGTGGAGGAGCTATTTTGTCAACTTTCTCAATACGCTCTTTGATGTTTATTGTTCTGATTCGTACACTGCAAAATCATTGTTGGATGAGTTGGACAAGAAATGTAATACTGAAGAGCAATGTGTCGAAAAGTAATCTGTTTCTAAGTTCCTAAAATATCAGATGGCTGAAGGAAAGTCTGTATCTGAGCAGACACATGAATTGATCAACTTGGAACATTCTCTCGCAGATGCTGATATGAAACTTCCAAAAAAGTTTTTTGCTTAATTCAATTATTGATAAATTTCCAACATCTTCGGAATGTTTTGGAATGTCGTTCAAGCATCAAAAAGGGAAATTGACCTAGGATAATTTAATGATATCAATCAACATAGAAGAAGAACATCGAAAAGAAGTTCATAATATGTCATTTGAACCTAAGGCTAATATGATAATGGAAAATAGAAAAATGAACCATGCAAATGTCAAAATGATCCATAAAGACAAGGCTTAGGCTGAAAAAAAGAAACCCAAATCAAGCAAACCATGTTGGAACTGTGGACAGGTTGGACATTGCATTAAAGATTGCCCGACGAAGAAAGCTAAGGTCTAACCTAAACTTGCTGAACAACCTGTGGCAAATATCGTTGTTGGGGAACCTAGCAATGCTAGCGCTCCAGAGACAACTATTGACTGGTTTGTTTCTTTTCAACCTAATCTTTTCAATGTCTATGAACCGTTTGATTGGTTAATAGATACTGAAGCAAATGTGCACATTTGTGCTGATAAATTGCTTTTTGTGTCTTATCAGCCAATTAATGGAAAATTCGTAGAGATGGAAAACTTAAGTGCAGCCAAGGTTCTCAAATGAGTGAGCGAGGTCGCTTACCGTTTGGCATTGCCCCCCGAGCTCTCTGGTGTGCAAAATGTCTTTCACTTATCGATGCTGAGGAGGTACGTGCACGACCCTGGGCACGTGGTGAACTTTGGCGAGTTAGAGGTCGGGCAGAACCTGACTTATGAGGAGCAACTGATAGCGATTCTGGACCGAAAGGTTTAGCGACTGAGGAGCAGAGATGTAGAACTCTTCAGAGTCTGTTGGAGCCGCCACGATGAGAGCGAGGCAACTTTGGAGAAAGAGAGAGAGAGAGAGAGAGAGAGAGAGAGAGAGAGCGAGAGAGAGAGAGCGAGATCCGAGCCATATATCTGGATTTCGAGTTGTGTTTTTAGTTTCTCGTGTATAGTCAAGTCGGACGTATGTTCAGTTTTATCATTTCCGAGGACGTAAATGTTTTAAGGAGGATAGATTGTAACGCCCCGAATATTTTTAGTATTTATGGAGCTCGACTTTATTTCCATAAATAACAAGTTACCTTATTTGATGTAATTATTTATTATTATTTGCATTAAATTGAGTATTAAAATTCTAGTCTAAGCCATGGAGAATTTATTTGATTTTTAATTTTAAAAATCGAATTTAGTTAGCCCAAGTATCATTTTTATTTTTAAGATGAAACCAAGTTTTGGGAAAATTAGAAATTTATTTAAGTCAGGCCGAAGCCCAGACGAGCCGAGCCTCGGCCTAATCATTTTTCGAGCCTAAGCCCACACGCCAAGCCCAATTCGGCAATCATCCTAGCCCAAGCAAAATTTAATTATTTGGCCCAAGTATTTTATCCTTAACCCAACACTCTTTAAATATTCTTTTTGAATTTTAAATTCAAATGCAAGGCAAGACAAATGGCATTTAATGCCCTACCTACCAAGCCCTTTCTTAGGATAAGTGTAACACCCCACTTTGATTTAAGAAATAATCCATGGCTTATCCAGAAATCCAATTAACATCTTAGAAATTCTTTTCTCGAAATCACAGTAATAGGGCATTATCTTGTTTTAAGTCATATTTGAAACTTCACGGGAATTCATTACTCGGTTTTTCACATGGACCTCATTATCCCAAAAACATAAAACTCCACATGATATTCAAAATAACACATTATCATGAATATCCAAACATAGTTTATCAATATGAATCAAATAACCAATCCAGTTTCCAACATTTTCAAATGTCATAGTGTGAAAGGAAATAACATGTTCATAACCAAAAAACAACTCAAGTTCAAAAATCCGGGTTAACTTATTCATAATAAAGCAGAAGCAAATTTAAACATAAATATGACCATCCACTCGCCATCCTGCCGTCATACCCGCCTTGCTTAACTTGGAACGTTAATTTCAGGTGGGGATGAGCACAGTTGGAAATCGTAGTGCTCACCACTATGCAATAAATCATATACAATAATAGTTAGGCATTGTTGCAGCATGAACATGAATCGATCAATTATCACATCTCCGAATCATACATTTTTACTCATGTGCACATCTATCATTAGCCATTGAAGGACATACAACTCACAACAATGGGAGTAAAATACCGAAGGACATACAGCTCACAACGGCCTTGCCTATCATTAGGCTAGGGAGACTGCCTATCAATAGGCATCGTCGAAGGACATACAACTCACAATGACGGGGACAACTACTCGATGGACATACAACTCACAACGAGTGTTACATGGTTCACACGCATGCATTAGTCACACCATTCA